TCCAAATGTATCAACAAATAGTACACTTCATGTACAATTCATTGTGTGCCAATTATTCCTTAATAAAGGCATTAAAAAAAACAGGTCACAAGTACATAATGGGAGAAAAATATTTGTAATTTTTCTACAGTGACTGTCATTTATTTTACATGATCTCATTACGATGTTCAAGTCTGATGCATAAAATTCATGGTCATGCTGAATCTAACATTGCTTTGACAATTGAGAATCTTGCTATGCTTCAGAAGAAAATGTCTCTGAATTAAAACTAAAAAAAATACAATGACTCAAGAAATGTTTTATAATCTTACAAAACATTTATAATTTTATTACTAAAATTAGAAGAATGCAAAGAGGTTGCTTATGACAACAAGGTGGGTTGTGAAAGTTAAAATTTTAAACCTTCCATAAGTGGCATCGTGGCACACACCTTTAACCCCAGTACTTAGGAGACAGAGGCAGGCAGATCTCTGTGAGCTCAAGACCAACCTGGCCTACAGAGTGCGTTCCAGGACAGCCAGAGCTACACAGTGAGAACCTGTCTCAAAAAATACAACAGAGTAAATTTTATGGACTAAATATGAAATAATTTTACTTTTAAAGCCTTTTAGGGGCTTCTTAGTCCCCCAAAAGGTACAACCCCTTAACAAAAATTTATATCTCCCTCATCTCTGTTCCAGAGACAATGGTCCCTTTCTGTTCCATTGAAGCCAGTCTTCCCACTAGAGCCTTCACTCGCCTCTGACACTTTCCTCCCCAGCCCTGCAGGGTCCACCACGAAGCCCACCCACGCCAGGGCACCTCCTGAGCACCCAGAACAGGAGAAGACTCTCCCTTCCCTCCTCTCACCGCAGCACACAGAAGCCTTCCCTCCAACGTGTCACCTGTTCTCTGTGACAGTGAGGATGGTGCCTGCTCCCCGCTGTGCCCTAACCTTCTACAGCCGGGACACAGAAGGTGTCAGCACTCTCATAGTTCTGTATCCCCAAAAGAAGATGGTATCAACTCCAGGTGAAGGCCAACTTCCTCTTTCAGTGAGTTAAAATCCCCGTGGTGTGGAGCTCCACGGAACACCCAGATTCGCAGGCATTGCTGCTGTTTGAGCAACTCCAGGGCCCAGGCAACACCCTGGAGCAAGTACACACAAACTATGGCGTGACCCCCTGCCCCACTTGCTGTGCTCGGTGAGCCCGTTATACACTCTCTCCATTCAGTTTACAGCGGCCATAGAAACAGCCCCCGTCCTTCCCTCCAGCCTGTCTGCCTTTCCTTTTCCCTTCTTCCTCCTTCCTCTTCTGCTCCTGCCGCCATTCTTCTTTCGCTTCCTCCCATAGTTAATGCTGAAGATGGAGCCGAGGGCCTTATGAACACTGGCCGCTTTACCAGCCCTTCAGCCCTCTTCATGTGATGGTGGTGGGCATGTGCGGCAGAGGTTGATAAAGTGTCTTCCACAATCACTCTTCGTCTACTTTCTTGATACAGGGTCTCATTTGAACCTGGAAGTTCAATGATTAGACTGTTTGGCCAGGGATTCCCTTTATCTCTGCCTCCCTAGCGCTAGGATTACTGGCTGGTGTTGCCAGGCCCAGCTTTCATATGGGTGCTGAGCATCAAACTCAGGTACCCATACTTGCACATTAGGATGTTACGTTCAAGCCCTCTTCTTATTTTGGAGATAGGGATGAACTAAATCGTCCAGGTTGGTCTTGGACGTACTCTGTAGAGCAGCAGGCAGGACTCTTGGCCACATGAGAAGCTGGAATCACATGTGTCTGCCAACAGGCCTGGCTGAACTACACGCTCTTCTCATTTCTGTAAAGGAGAAAAGGAAACTGCTCAGAGAAGGATGCTGTTACTTGCCCAGGGTCACACAGCCAGTGAGAGGCAGGGCTTCTCCAAGCAAGAAGTTCCCTGTGATAATGAAATAATGGTTTGGATGGCAACTGTTTTGTAAGTTGGTAAATTTCACTAGAAGGGCCCAGAATCTTCTGCCATGCTGGGCTCGAGCACTAGCGCAGTCCTCTCTGACCCCTCTTGCTGCTGTAATCCCCTGTGGCTTCAGCTCCTTTCCATTTTCTAGGGGATCTCTGCCTTCAGCGGCTGTTCTCTTTCCATCTCCTCCAGGCAAGTTCTCCCCAAGGCCTCTCCTTGGCCCTCTCTCCACACTTTCTCAAACTGTTTCTCCAGATCAGCCCTCTCCATGAAGGGGCACAACCCAGCTCCCATGGTGTCTTCTAATTCCTCCCAGAATGTAACCCTTGTTCCCAGGGCCCAGAGGAGAAGCAATGTCCTCTCCAAGGCATCCAGGGATCTCTTTTCTTACCTCCCAGCCTTTCTCTGAGCTCTCCACCTTTGTCCAGCATAACTCCCCTCCCTCCTACCTCTACTCAAGGTATTTCCAACTCCTTGGTATCCAGAGTCCTTCTTGCCCCTGTTCCCTATCAGATGTGGCTCTTCTGTGTCAGGAGACTCTGTGGAGAGGTCAGGCCAGGCTCCCTGGGCAAAGCGCCTACCACACTTGCTTTGACCCTCCTTCTACCCAGTCAGAGGCTTGCACCAAGATGGGGAACAAGGCCCACGCTGCACCTCTGCTTGTACCTGCAAGTAAAACTTTCCCATCTGGAAAAGAAAGGGGTGGAATGGGCCCACGTTTCCCAAACTGCACTCACTTAAGGATCCCCAGGCTCACTTTATTCCTGCAAGCCAGTACTATCATGTTTATTATCTCTAAGGGAACTAGACTGGAAAACCAATGCCATCTGCAGTAAAGACTTGGGGGAGGGATGGCGACCATGAAGACAGGCATGTGACTGATAAAACAGGCAGACAGTCCTCACAGGTAGGATTCTAGAGGACAGTTCAGATCACCAGTCTTTGTCTAAGATAGATGTGGAGGCAGAATGAGGAAGCTTGTTATTCTTGGCATCATGGCTAGTTTAGGCTGGACTCCATGAGACCTTGTCTCGAAAGACAAAAAAGCAAAAACAAGATCAACAAAACTGAAGCTTATAGAGGTGTCGAGGACAGATTTTTGGTCAGTAATAAATTTTGCAAGAGTCCTATGTGAACAGACTTTTACTTCTACTTGTATAAAAGTACCTGGACATTTACAGAAAGGATGAGGACGGAGGGAGAGGGACAAGGGCTTCTACAAGGTCAAGGGAGTAAGGACTTTTTGAAGGGGTGGTTGGTGTAAACAAGCTCAGGCCACTGTGTGCACTGCGAGCCGGCACTGTGATCAGTCAGGACTTCACCAGCTAATGGGCCTGGGAGCCAGAGACCTGAGCCTCAGACATGGGCTAGAACAGTCAGTTCTTCGGCGGCCTTGAGGTTTTCAGGCAGGAAGTTTAAGAGAGGCTAGGGTCATCTTAGAGATACAACCTTTAAAAATCTAGGCTGGAAAATGCTCACAGCAGACAGTCTAGAGGCTGGTAAAGAATTTTTATCTGTGTTTAGCTTAGATAAAAGTAAAGATAAAAAAAAAAATCCAAGCTTTTAAACATAGCGCTTGAGAGGCGAAGACAGGTGGATCTCTGTGACTTCAAGGCCAACCTGGTCTACGAAGTGCATTCTAGGACAGTCAAGGAAACAGAATAAAATCTTGGAAAAAATTTCCACCAGCATATACTGAGGCTGTATAAAAAGTATGTTACATGGTTGATGTTAGGTAGGTAAGCTCAGAAAGAATCACCTGACCCAAGGTCACAGTCAGAAATAATGTGCTGGGTAACTGGCATGACAGGGCATGCCTGTAACTCCAACATTTGGAAAGGTAAGAACTCACGTTTGAGGCCCATCTGGGCTATAACTGAGACCTCTGTTTCTAGGTTCAGAGCACATAAGCCGTAAGCCATCTTTTACCCATGCACTCTTACCAATGCCACTGGTCCACAGAACTGAATTTGGACAAGAATGTGAAGCTGACCGTATTTCTCAGCTCTAGCTGCTGGATGGTGCCTGCACTCCAGCTGGGAGCTCTGCAGTACCTGGGAGACAGCCTGGGGTTTTAGAGGTTTTCAGAGCAGCTCACCGGACTGCCTCCCGTCACTGGGGAGCCAGAGGCAGGAGGAGCTTGAGTCTAAGGGCAGTCTAGACTATGGTGCAAGGCCTTGTCTCAAAAGCAACAGCAATAACAGAAAAAATGGGAGAAACTAAAAAGGGAAAGAAGAAAGAAAGAGAGAGAGTTTCCAAGTCATCCCTATGAGCAAGCCAGGGTCTTGCTCGGTGGCTTTATAGTTGTTATCATCCTGTTTGATCCTCATAATGTCCAGTGAGAGATACGAGCACTGGACAGTGAACATGTCCCAGGTCTCGGCCCGGAGGCAGAGCTTCATGTCGTTGAGAAGAGGTGGGGTCACAAATTCCTGACCTCCTGCTCCGACCCTGCCCAGGGGGGCTGCTCTACGGGGGCAAGACCCAGAGGGAGAGCAAGCATGTTCCCGACCGCAGAAGCCAGCAGCGTGGCTTCCTTTCTCCTAGGTCGTCTGCATTCCTACTGCGCACACAAAAGAGAAGCTTCAGCCACAGGTTCAAAACCCAAGTCAGGGGATCCCAGGTAGCTGGGCGGGGCGGCTTCCTCTGCCGGATAAAGTGTGGCGCGGACAGAAGCCTGAGTAAGCCAGAAAGCTCTGCAGTATTCTGATAGCACAGCAACAGCCGGTCCACACCCACAGTTTTCAGTAGTCTTGATCATGGCACCGGTTGAGAGGGGCCTAGAGAAGATGATCATTGGACCCCCTGGCCTTGTCCACTTCAGCACCCGTCAGAGCTGCAATACTGGACCTATCGTTCCGCCCTGGTCGATCTGTGCACTGAGGTGTTTGTGTGTGTGACATAGGACAGACGTCATCACTGCTCACAGGTGGAAGACGTCACTTTTCACCATTGGGCTACTTATGAGGTTTCCAGCTACGGGCAGGAGAGACGCCGCTGTCCAAACTCAGGCCACCTGAAGACCACTGTTGACATCTGCAGAGGCTAAGGGTCACCCAGCCTTCAAGATGCCTAGAGGAAACCAGCCACCAAGAGACCCCGACACCACCACAGAGGGCAGCCATCAACCCCGACCCCCTCAGAAATGCAACAATCCGAGGCAGGCCCCAGAGCACACCCCTGCAATGACCGAACAGAAGGCGGCCACACCCGGGACTAGGAGCCGGGCGGAGCACGTGGCACGCACTCCGCCCTCCCAGCCCAAGCTCTCGGCCCAGGGTTCGCGAGGTGCACGAGGCCCTTCTGCAGGCCAGCGGATCCCAGAGCGGGCCAACCCGGAGGACCCACGCAAGGGCAAGCGTCCGTGCTCGGGGCGGCGCGACAGCCTGCCGCGGACGCCCTCCACCCCGAGGTCCGAGGCCTCTACCCCAGACCCCTCCAACATGGCCCGCGGCGGCACTCAGAACTGGAGCTCCGGCGAGTCCGACGGCCAGCCGGAGGAGCAGACATCCGAGGAGAGCGGGTGAGCGCGCTCGCCCGGGCGCCCGCAACCGGGCTCGGAGCCGCCGGAACCTCCGCGAAGGTTCTGGGCCTTTGTGGCGTCACGCCTCCTGGCGGAACCTTCCGCCGGCGCCGAATAAAAGCCCACGGCGGAGGCGCCGGCGGCTCGAGTGCGGCGGGGCCGGGCGCGCGAGCGGGGGCCGGGCGCACGCTCGGGACGGTGCCCCGGGAGCGGCCGCGAGCGACACGGTGACGCGCAGGCCGGCGGCGGGGCCGCGGCCCGGGGCGCCCGGGAGCGTCAGGGACGCGCTGACCCGCCTCGCCCGCCCCACCCCGCAGAGACAAGATGGTGAAGGAGACCGAGTACTATGACATCCTGGGGGTGAAGCCCAGCGCGTCCCCGGAGGAGATCAAGAAGGCCTATCGGAAGCTGGCGCTCAAGTACCACCCGGACAAGAACCCGGATGAGGGCGAGAAGGTGCGGGGGCTGCGCGGGGCGTCGGGGGTCGCCGGGGACCGGGGCTGTGAATAGTCGAAGGCGGCGCAGAGGCCGTCTCCAGGCGCCGCGCCGGCCCGAGGGAGGCGGCGGGGCGCAGTCGGTGGGGGACACCTCGCCAGGGCGCGACCGGCGCGGGGCGCGAGTCCCCCGCAGCCATCCGCGCCTCCATCCACTCCACAAGTGTTTCTGCGGCCCCTGCCTCCCGGCGGTGACGACCCTGGCCGGGCTCCGGGACTGACCTGTGGGAGCCCAGCTCTCAGAAGTAAAGCTTCCTATGGGAGAGGACGCCCGGCAAACCAGAAACCCAGCGGTGAACAGAGGCTGTGTGCTCGGAGGGCAGGCACCCTTGACAGCGAACTGTTCTGTTTCTAGTCCGTTTGTTGCATAAGCTCACCTAGGGATGAGTTTTCTGTGCTCTTGAGTTGTACCTTAGGCGAACCCAGTGTCCTTCTTGAGAAGGAATGGGTGGATTTGATCTGTGAGGGCCACCTCCTACCTGATGACAATTTTCCGGACACTGAATCGTTGCTTTTTTTTGTTTTGTTTTGTTTTTGTTTTTATTAAACAGGGATGCAGAAGTCTGTGTAACCTGACGCATCTGTTTATAGTGAGAACTCCAGGTTTCCTGTGACAAATGACCCACAGTTGACCATAAGTACAGACAGATAATAGGCTGAAACGCTCTGCATGTTAGTATCCTAACTTAAACCTTTCCATCCTGTTTACAGAAGTAAGACATTCTTTTTTGTTGTTGTTGTTCCCAAAGAGGACATGACCCACCTATTCAGCCACTGCAAGGAGAGCTAGATAGCTATCCCATTTCTCATTCCAATTCTTGCCGTTTAAAAAGCAAAACAAACCCTCAAACAGGATAAAACAACAAAAAAAGCAAACAAATGAGAAAAAAAAAAACTTTGGATGTCACAGATGAGTCTAGGGGGCAGATGTCATTATAGGAGCTAACAGCAGTCACACCTGGGCCACTTTTGGAGCCACTGATCACCCCGTCTAGTGTTTGGACCTGTGGAAATGACGCTTGGATCAAAATACCTGTCTGCATTAGTAATTCCAAGCTGGCGCAGGCAAGCTACTTACGGAAGGTTGGCCGCGGTGGCGGCAATGATAGAATGCTTATATTTAGCCACATGTGCCGAATGTGGCTGTCACAAGTTTAAAATGCCTCGCTGTAAGACTGTTATACCCATTTGTGTTCTTTCACATCTATATTTAGGTGGCTTTACTGTAGCTTTTAAAGTCACCGGCTTTCTGCATCCTGCTGGTGATTCATAGGCGTGTTCCCTCAGTTCACTGCTGTCCGTTGCCGACATTCCTTTCTGTTATTTTTGTGTGTATGGGTATGTTGCCTGAATGTATACTTGTGTACCACATGCGTTCCTGGTGCCTTTGGAGGCCGGAAGAAGGTGTTGGACCCTCTGGAACTGAAGTTACAGATGGTTGTTAACCACCATATTTGTGCTTGGAATGGAACCCTGATCCTCTGAAAGAGCAGCCCCCGCTCTTAGCGGCTGAGACATCTCTCCATCCCTACTGACATTCTTCAAGGAGGGCTTCAAGGCTTCTGATTTCATGTTTCAGCAGGCAGCACGGGGGAAAGCCTTCCACTCTGGTCTCCATCACATCACAGTCACCAAGAGGCAGTTTGCTGTTTGTTTACCATTTGAGATGAGAGTACTTTTGGTGTGGCCAAGCTTTAAAAACGAATTATGTTTGCCCTCTTCACCTAGCTTTCACCACCTATATAACCTGATGGGGCAGGATTTGCCTTTTGTTTTAAACCAATATTTGCTTCTAGCCGGGTACCGAAGGAGCAGTGGTGCATAAATAATTCTTTTACACAGTAAGATGTGGCAGGTTCCTCTCTTCTGCTGGGAGGAGGGCAGGGTGTACCCACTGGTGGAAATACGTTTCCCTTCCCTACTTTCCATGAAGTACCTGGGTAGCTCATTTTCTTTGGTTCTTTACTAAGACATCTTGGCTGAGGCTGCCTCTGACCACAGATTGGCCGAGCACCCTTCAGCCTTATCTTACTGTGATGGTCCTTAGTCTGATGCCAGTTCCACTTCAGAGGGCAGGTGAATCTGGCTGTGCTATATAGATGCTAAAATGTTTGTTGGCTTCCTGAATAATGAGGCCAGAAGAAGCAGCAGACCTTCAATTCTCTAATTCCTTGTGTAAGCAGGAGCGCGAGGGAGAACACAGTGAAGAAGGACTGGGGAAAATGTGGGTTGAAATCAGAGCAGGCAGGGGATACAGTTGGTAAAAACTGCTCTGCAGCTCCCCAGAGGGCTGGCTCATTCCTTCACTCACCAAACGGCGTCTCTGCTGGTCCTGTGATGTGCTGGGCACACCACGCAGGCTTTTCCAGGTTTTTGCAAGAATTTGTATGTAGTTTTGGACTACTTTATATGCTACAGGTGGGAACTTGTCATGTCTCCCCACCTATGTTTGTCCCTTTATTATTAATGACTTCTTCAAGACTAGATTGAGCCAGCCCTTCCCCACCGTGTCCTGGGACAGCCAAGAGGCCAGCAGCGTTGGTCTTTGTTTTCTAGTCTGTTGTCCTGTGTTGCTAAGCAGTGGGCAGTCTGTGTTTGTTGTCAGCCATTCTGCCCTGCATGAAGTCTGTGCTTGTTCTAGCTGCAGTTGGTTTTCTGCAAGACACAGGGTGGCAGGCCAGAGAAATGGTCCCTATCAGGGGTGATGATATACGACCATTTATCGAGATGTGTTTGGTCTTTGGGCCAGTTTCATTGTAAATTTTAGTTTGAATAACAGAATTTCAAGGTAAAAATCTTAGCAGACCTTAATGGTGCAGAAGGTTTCAGAATATGGGCTGGGGAGATAGCTCAGTATGGATAGCCTACCCAGCATGCACAACGCCCTTCCTGGGTTTGGTGCCCAGTGCCACATAAGCCACATGTCTGCAGTCCTAGCACTTGGGAGATAAAAGCAAGTGGAACTGAAGTTCAAGGCTATTTTGGCTACATAGTAAGTTCATGGGCAACCTGGGATTTGTGAGACCCTGCGTCGAAGAAAAGGAAAGGCGGTGAAGTTTCAGAATACAGAGGGAAAGCCTCCTGGAACATGCCAACCCAAATCTTCCTTCCTTCCTTCCTTCCTTCCTTCCTTCCTTCCTTCCTTCCTTCCTTCCTTCCTTCCTTCCTTCCTTCCTTCCTTCTTTCCTCCTTCCTTCCATTTTTGTTTTTGCTTTGTAACAAAGTCTCATTCATTAGTCAAAGCAAACTTTGAGGCAACCCCCCGCCTTAGCTTCCTTAGGTACAGGAACTATATTAATGAGCTATATGCCTTGCCTTCCCTCCTCTTTTCTCCTCCTTCTTTTCCCCCTCTTCTTTTTCTTCATCTTCATCACCATAAGCACTTTTCCAGGTTGCTATTTTTGTTCATTGCATTTATCAACTGAACAGTCATTCTGTGAAAGGTCTGTGATTCCACCTGGGAGGAAGGGGGAGGTCTTTGAAGGAATTAGACCCTGGAGTGCTGGGTCCCCACAGGTGGGAGGACGTGTCACCCTCATTTAGATCCCCTGACCCATCAGGTCTGGCCGATAATTGAATCCCCCAAGTTATAGGGCAATTTTTTTTCTATTCTTCAGTTCATCTGTTAAATCCAAGCCTCTTTGGGGTATCCAGGGTATTTGGAGAGTTCTGTGGGCCTTCTCCTGGAGCATGCAAAGAACCCAGAAGCCTCAAGTGGCAACCTAGCCTAGTTACTCTCTGACCTTCCAAACTGTATACTCAATGCCTGTGCCCCCCGTTGGTGATTTCATGTCTTTGTTTCATTTCCTTGAAAAAAATATTATGGGAATTAAGTCAAACCACCTAATTATGATGCTGATGGCTATGTGTGTTAGAGTGTAGGTGCCTGTGTGCCATGGCAACGATGAGGAGGGGGGACACTTTGGAATTAGCACTTGCTTTCGAAGCAGGGCCTCCTTATCTGTGTTGCTGTGCTGTGGACTCCAGGCTAGCTGGTCCCAGAGCTCCCAGGCAGTCCCTCCTGCCACACTGCGGGATCACAGATGCTCACGCCACAGCAGCTTCTGCGTGCGTTCTGGGGGTTTGGACTCAGGTCAGCATGGCAAGAACCTGCACCTACTGCGGTCATCCCCTCCCCTGAAGGCTTTGTAAGACTGGCTCCTGGGGGCAGCGGAGACGGCTCAGAGCTGAGAGCACTTACTGTTCTTACAGAGGACCAAAGTGCAGCTCCCGGCAGCACGTCAGATGGCTCACAGCCCATAACCTCAGGGGACCCTCGTGTCCTCTTCTGCCCGCCATGGCTGCACACGTGCACGTGTATGTAGCACACACATTTACGCATACATCAAAAATTTAATTAAACTTTTTAATCCCTTTTTGGTGATGCCTATCAGCTGTTACTGCCTATTAGGTCTTGGTCAGGAATCTGTGGAACAAGGAGTGACTTAACATCTCTCTCCATTTCTGTATTTGTGTCTTTGTGGCATTTGTTTTTCTCTTGTAGGTTCTAAGAAGCCACCTAGGATAGTTCATACTTCTTTCCTTCAGAGTAAAGATTAGCCTTGGGAGGGCCAACAGCCAACCTTGTTTATTCATATCTAAACTTCTAGAGGTGTTCATTTAATAAGTATTTGCCAAGTATTGTCCACATGGAAGACACAGTTGTAGGCTCAAGGATCCCCTTGGTATTCCAAGCTGACAGAACACCCATCTTCATGGGGCTTCTCTCACAGTGGGACAAAGCATAATGTTGTTCTTACATCATCGCAGAGTGTAATGCCCTTGGAAGGGCTGGGAGACCTGTGTGTGGGTTTGCAGTGTGAAAGCTGGGACTTGGAGGGTTTGGGCTCCCTAGGAAAGGGGGCTTTGGGCAGAGGCTTGAAGGCCTATATCTGCCTGGGGCACATGTTACTGTGTTCAAAAAGAGCAAGGAGGCTGCGGACTAAAGCAGAATTGAGATCAGGAACTCGAAAGATGGAGGCGGGAGGATTGCTGTGAGTTTGAGATCAGCCTGGGTGATGAAGTGGGTTGTAGGCCAGCCTGTGCTACAAAATGAGACCTTTCAAAAACCAAAGTCCTAGGGGTCAGAGAGGAGAGGAGGGCAGAGTCAGGTTGTAGGTGACAGCAAAGATGGTGGCTTGGGAGGTTCACAATGCACAGGGTTGGTGCGCAACAGGCCAAAAGCAGAGTGAGGTTACTGGAATGGATCAGGCCACAAGATAGCAAAGGACAGAATTACAGCTTTTAGTGTTCCGTTTTATTTTAGAAAGGCGCATATACTTATGAGAAAACCCTCCACCTGGCCTTACCATTTGCAAATAAGTCGCCACATCATTTTCCTATTTGCTATAGCTTTTGTGCATAATGCGCAGGTAAATACTGTAGTGTGCTCTCCCTAGGAACAAGGACGCCCCTACAGTAACCGCGGCAGTCAGCAAGGGGATGGCTTTCAGTTGGAAACACATTTAACACTTCCCCGTTTGTTCCAGTAGCACTGTTGATAACCATTTTCCCCTGTGTGTAGCCCACTCCAGGGTAAGCCTATCTGTGTTTTCTTGTCTTTTAGACTTAGAGAATGCCTCTCTCAGTTTGGGTTTTCTAGTTCTTTTCCTACAATTCAATTCTGGTGATACATTTTTGGCAGGCAATACCACACACGGGGTGTTGTGTCTGTCTGAGTTCAAGAAATATAGACAGGAGAGTGGCACCAGCAGAATTTGTTTGACAGGCGAGGGCTGGTATTGCCATGACCAAGCTCAGGGGATGCTGGGACAGTCAGGCAGAGCTGGGAGGGGAAGTACAGGTGTACACACAGTGTCCAGCATGCCAACAGGTGCCCACAGATGGCTGTGGATGGATTTCACACTTGCAAACTAGTAAAGTGATTCCTGTGGCTGGAAACCATGCTCGCACCTGGAGCCATGGGCTGCAGCCATTTAAAGATGGAGCCTTGCCGGTCTCTTGTCTCCAGCCGGACTCCATGTCTTGTGGCCAGTGCTGCCAGGTGGAGATGCTCTCTCCCTCCCTCCCACTTTCCAGCTCGTTCTTGAAGCATCCGCATATCAAGGTCCTAATGATGTTTCTCCCTTGTGTCCCATTTTTAAAGGGCAGCAAACACATCGCTGGGAGCTGGAAGGGTGGCTTGCTTATAGGGAAACATCTCGAATCTCTCTGAGACTCATTTCAAGTTTCTCTCTCTTTTTTCCAAAGTTTAAACTTATATCCCAGGCATATGAAGTACTTTCAGATCCAAAGAAGAGAGACATCTATGACCAAGGTGGAGAACAGGCAATTAAGGAAGGGGGCTCAGGTAGCCCCAGCTTCTCTTCACCCATGGATATCTTTGACATGTTCTTTGGCGGTGGAGGACGGATGACGAGAGAGAGAAGAGGTAAATGATTCTAATGATTTTCTTTCCATTTGTGTGTGGTGTGTGTGTGTGTGTGTGTGTGTGTGTGTGTGTGTGTAGGTATGTAGGGCAGAAGACAAAATTGTAAGAGCTCATGCTCTCCTTTTGTCATGTGGATGGATGATCTAGATTGAACTCAGGTGGTCAGTGTTGGTGGTAAAGGCCCTTACCCTCTGAGCCATCTTTCCAGCCTGTGAATGCTTATAAAGATATGTAAGCAAGCTTTATATTGTACATGTTGCAGCAATGAAGGTGGATTATACTTTAGAAGGGTGTGGATGCTGTAGTTGGGGATTGTTAAATAGTTCTGAATTTTAGTTAGTATGCGGGTGCTGGAATCCCCTATATATGTAATTATCTGAACCTTTCCAGTGCCCCATGTAAAAAGGAGCGGATGGCATTAAAGATAGAATAGAGAAGCATGTGTAATCCCAGCATCCAGGAGGCCAGAGTAGGATTACTGAGTTCTAGGCCAGCCTGAGCTGCATAACAAACAAGTCAGTACGGTTAAGTTCATCTGTTTTGGAGGCAGGCATCAAAGTGTCCAAAGCATCATTGACGCTTCAGGGCTTAGCAAATCTTCTATCAAGAGTGCCCCCGAAGAGATGACTCAGAGGTTAAAAACACTTGCTGTTCTTCCAAAGGGCCTGAGTTCAATTCCCAGCAACCACATGGTGGCTCATAGTAAGATCTGGTATGCAGGCAGAATGTTGTATAAATAATAAATCTTAAAAAGGGAGAGGGGCTGGGCTGTAGTGGCCAACACCTTTAATCCTAGCACTCTGGAGGCAGAAGCAGCCAGATCTCTGTGAGTTGGAGGCCAGCCTGATCTACAGAGGGAGTTCCAGAATAGCCAGGGCTACACAGAGAAAGCCTGTCTCAAAAACAAACAACAACAACAACAACAACAAAAAAAGAGTTCCCCTCTCCCTTCCCCTCTCTACCCACCCACCATCCTTACTGACTCTTAGGCCCCAGTCTGGGCAAGGGCCTGCCTGTTCTCATTATTCTGCTCAGGATACTGCCCTGTTCAGGGCAGCCTCATCCACAGGCAACACTGGATTTTCTGAGAGAGAGAGCTGAGCTGTGTTTTAAAATATTTGTAAAATAAATGACCTTCTCAGAATCCATTCTGCTTAGCAGCTTCACTGTCCCAGGGGGTAAATGAGCTCCCACCCCACTGCCTGGGGTTCCTGCTCCCCTTGCCTTCCCCCTTACTCTCTTCTCCTCCTTACCCTCTTCCTCCTCTCCCATCTCCTTTGGGGGGGGGGGGTCGGGGTTTAATGTGTTTCAGGCTGCCTCCAAATCCCCTATGTAGCTGAGGGTGGTCTTGAACTTGTGGCGCTCCTGCTTCTGCCTCCCAGAGCTTCCTGCATGCCAGAGAAGGCATCTTGGCAGCCGAGTCCCTCCTCACTCTCAGGTCTCACCTCCTGCCAGCGGGCTTGCTGGCTGTCTGCTATGTTATCGAATTGTCTCTGCTGATCACCCCTCCCCTTCCAGCTCACTGCTGATAATCTACTTTGGATCCTAAACCCATGTAGACAGCCAAGCTTACTGCACTGCAAGATATTCAAGAGAAATACGCTCCTGGTTAGTTTTAAGTGTGGCTTTGGTCAGTGAGAAACTCTGATAAATGTATTTGTTCTCACATTATAATTGGCTTTGAGCTTTAGAACGCACAGGTGCCAATTCTGTGCACACAGTGTACTGAAAACCACAGTGTTTATGAGGGAAAAATCCCTCCCCCACTCCTGCTATACTGCCTGCTCGTGTATCTGACTATGTGGGCACGATTAAAACTTCTCTTGCCCAGCTCTCTAGCTATCTATAAATGAAAAGCTTTATACCCTTAATTAAGTCATCTCTCAAAGTTAAGAGCCAAAATTCCAGGCCACCTTGTCTCAGTGATTGCTGGAATGCCTGGGCAGCAGGGAAGGTGTTGCTGTGTTGGTCCCCAGGAGAAGGCATAGTGCCAGGCTGCCAAACTGTACCCTGAGGGCTAACCACCCTCCCCCGCCGCCAGTTCTGAATGCAGATAAAGAGTTGGTCAGAGGAAAGCACCCTGCTGGGCCATATGCTACAGAAGGGCTTAGAAAGTAAGAGGCCGGGTGCCCGAGCAAGCCGGGTGCCCGAGCAAGAGTCCCAGTGAAGGGCTGAAGGTGTTATACTGTCATCTCTGATGAAAGGGTGTGTGTCCTATGCAGGACTTAAGTCTCGTTCTTAAGTGCCTTTCATTTCCTATCCTTAGTGTGCTCCTAAAATGAGGGTGGTCCTCTCTAAATGACCGGATCTTCAGCTCAGAGCTGGACAGGAGCTAGTTCTCCTCCCTCTTTGCAGGGACCAGTAGTAGGGTTGGTTCAATGAAGCATTACTTCCAGGGGGCAGGGCCTCTGACCCAGCTCTGAGGGTTGGGGCCTCTGTAAGGGTCATGCGGCGTGCGTAAGGCAGTGGTCCGCTTAGTCACTAACAGGCTCTCTTCCTTGGCAGGCAAGAATGTTGTACACCAGCTGTCAGTAACTCTGGAAGACTTATATAATGGAGTCACTAAGAAACTGGCCCTCCAGAAAAATACAATTTGTGAGAAATGTGAAGGTAACGATATCAGAATGACCTATCACAGTTCAGATTCCTTGTTCCCTAGCTCAGAGAAAAAGAATTGATCTTGGCAAATATGGGGTCAAGCTGGCCATGTAAACAGAGAGCCCTGAAGCCACATCTGTCTGTCTAAAAGGTTTTGTTTTTCTGGGCTGAACATCTATTCAGAATGTTGGCATTTATTCTAAGTTTCAAACTCTGGACATTCTGCTAATGTAGGGCTTGGCAGAGCTTTACTGCAAAGGCTGAGACAGCAGACTGTCTCTGCTGCTACAGGACGTGAGCGAATGTGTCTTCGTCCCAGTAAAGTGTTCACACTAGTACAGTTCACTTGAATGTGTAAAATTGGAATTTTAAAATTGGAGGCGTAAAATCTGGTGGCCCTAAGACCCATGTTGTCCCACAGAGGACTTAGCTGAGTTGTGAAATGGCCTGCATGGATGAAGCCATGTCCTGTAGTCCCTGCACCTGGGGTGTGGGTGCCACCACCCGGAGGTTAGATGTTAACATCTCCATACGATCTGCTTGACTCCTCTCTTCCAAACACGGCACGCTTCCCTAAGTACCTAAGTGCAGGATTCCACACACAGGGCCCAGGGGGGTCGGCAGCTCCCACTGAAAGAGACACAGCTCTCCCACCTGTCCCCTCCACAGGCATTGGTGGGAAGAAGGGGTCCGTGGAGAAGTGCCCTGTGTGCAAGGGGCGGGGCATGCAGATCCACATCCAGCAGATCGGGCCGGGCATGGTGCAGCAGATCCAGACGGTGTGCATCGAGTGCCAGGGCCAGGGTGAGCGCATCAGCCCCAAGGACCGCTGTGAGAGCTGCAGCGGCGCCAAGGTGGTCCGCGAGAAGAAGATTATCGAGGTGCACGTGGAGAAAGGTGAGGCTGAGCGCTTAGCGCCGTAGGCCCCTCCCTATCACAGCACACCCAGGGTCGCTGGCAGGGGTGTGGCTGCCAGGACTCCCTTCTCAGGTCATCTTCCCATGGCCTTTCCTGGCCTGAGGAAGGACCAGCGAGGTCACAGAAAAACTCGTGGAGGTTTTCCTGATGCTCGGAAAGCCTTGACCTCAGCTGTGTTCAGTTGCCCGTACCTGTCCTTCTCAGAGCATCCCTTAGGAGCCTTTTGAAGCATTCTTCCCAACAGTGTTTATTGCTCACTGGCTGCCAGAGCTTTTAAAGGTTTCTGGACCTGTATGCTAGCCTTCCTTCCCCCAGCTTCTCCCAGAACTGGTGCCTTCCCTTGTTATTTCATCTGGCACCACCATCTTAAGGCCCATTCAGTTCATCTGTTTTTCCAAAAATCCCAATTCTGTGACTTTTTGATCCAGCAAGTATGTCATACATCAGACGAGACCAAAAATCAAACCGTCAGCTGCTAAATTTCCTTATATATGCCTTCACCTTGTGTCTGCACACTAACATCTGAAAAAGACTAGGCCCTTCCGCAAGTCTCCCCTCTGAGCCACAGAGCCACGCCCCCTGTGCACCAAGAAGTGGGCAGCGAGCTCACAATGTGTGTGCCCTTGTGTGGCACCCCAGCACCCAGGACGGAGGCGTGTGATGGGATCAGATGTGTATGTTACTGGCCCCTCCCTCTTCACCCTGGACCCGGGGCCTGTGGTGGAAGGAAAGCCTTTGCTTGGTGATTATCCCAGCTCCTCCTCCAACACTGTGCCCACGGGAGGCTGGGAGGTCTAAATGAGTTAAGAACCCCTCTGTCCCTTCAGAAGCTCTGAGCTCCGGCTGTGAGAAGCGGCTAATCAGAAGGGTGATGTTCCATAGGTATGAAGGATGGGCAAAAGATACTGTTTCATGGAGAAGGAGATCAGGAGCCTGAGCTGGAGCCTGGTGATGTCATAATTGTGCTTGATCAGAAGGATCATAGTGTCTTTCAGAGACGAGGCCATGATTTGATCATGAAAATGAAAATTCAGCTCTCTGAAGCTCTGTGTGGCTTCAAGAAGACAATAAAAACGTTGGATGAGCGAGTCCTCATTATTTCAACTAAGTCAGGTGAGCACGCTCTCCGCGTCGTGCATGTCGGCACAGTGATCTCGTTTCATGAGCTCAGCTTGATACTCGCTAAATTTATCTTTTTACATAATGACGTCATCTTATTCTTTTAAAGATATACTTCACTTTTAATTGTGTATATGTGCATGTGGCTGTGTGAGTGTGTGCATGTGCGAATGTACCTTGGAGGCAGAGGCTCTTCCTGGAGCTGGAGTTACAGGCAGTTGTGAGTCACCTGACATGGATGCTGGGTACCAAACTCTTCGTGCTGAACGGCAAGAGCAGAATCTGTCCTTAACTGCTAAACCATCTCTTCAGCCCCTACACTTCTTACAATTTATTGTGTTGTAGGTGTGTGTGGAGGTCAGAGGACAACCTTAGAGAGTCAATTCTGTTCTCTGCCTCACACTCGGGTGGCTCATCAGTGTGCACAGCAAGAGCCTTTCCCTTCTCCGACGTATCGTTAGCCCTGCTCTGTGAAGTTACTACCCATGACGAGAACATGATGAATTTGTCTAACACTCTTCTAGGGCAGGAAGAGGGCTCTCAAGAAAGAGTCCTGTGAGCCTGAAACTTTATCTGGACTCTTCCAGCCAAGCTTAAATTTCAAACATTGGAGTAGCAGAACACTACTGACCACAGGCCTTTTCTCTCAAATGCTGCCTGTGCTGGTTTTCTGTGTGTTCCCCTGGTTTCTGAGCTAATATAAATATGTATTAGCTGTGACATATCTTCAGAGGCCTCCACATTAACTGACCACACACACCCATGGGAGCTGCCTCTGAAAAAGGGGTCCCAGGACCCTGGGCCAGCCTCCCAGCACTTGCACAGACACCAGGTTCTTAGCATCCAGGAAGGCTGATGTTTACACATGGGCTCTGGCCAAGGCTGGGCTAGTGACAAAGGCAGATGTGCACAGCTAAGACCTCGGCATAGTGTGGAAGAAGCTAAGCAATGTAGGTGTCCTGGGGCTTCGCCACAGGCAGGGCTCACCTATGGAAGGGGGTTGAGGTAACTGGCTGCTGATCTTGCCGCACAAGCCTTGGGACTTGGTGGTAAAACTGAAGTGCTGTGGGTCAGGTGAGTGAGCGCCTGTGTCTGTGGCTAACTTCCAGGACCTCTCCTGTCTCTGCTCATTTCCCTTTTCTGTCTGCTCAGCTCTTCCCAGTCTTCTCTGCCAGCCTTCTCTGATTCCTTCTCACTCCTTTGCTGGAGATGCATTTCTAAACTGATCAGTTTATGGTGATTTTTCATCTGAATTTCTGAATTTCAAACTTACAGCCGTGCGTGATGGTGTGTGCTCGTAGTCCTAGCACTCAGTAAGCTGAAGGCAGGACTGGAGGATTGAGGCCAGCCTGGTCCACGTAGCAAGATGCTATTTAAGTGGAGACTGGATATGTGTGTTGGAGATGTAGCCCAGTTGGTAGACTGTTTGCTTAGCACTCATGGAGTTCTGGGTTCAATCCCTAGCACCGTATAAACCAGGTTTGCTGGTGCTGGCCTGTAATCCCAGCATGTAGAGCCTGAGCAAGAGGTCAAATTTACAAAGAGCTTCAGAAACACTGTCTCAAACAACAACAACAACAACAACAAAACCGCCATGTTTCAAGCTTACAGAAAGTTGTAGGGATAAAAACACACAAGGTCCAACAGCATGAGATCTGGCCCTTTTGCCCCATTTGTGCTATGCATGTGGGTATACCCTATCCAGGAGCAGTGGGAGCCGCGCTGGGACAGTCTGGAGCTTTCAAGTCAGAGATGCCTTTCTTTGGGCTCCACTGCACAACCGTCTAGGTACCCAGTCCCTCCTGTCACTTGAGGCATATAATTGAAGGACTGCACTTCACCCAAGGCCATAGGTCACATGTTTCAAACAGAACTGGGCCTGGTGGTGTGTCTCAGATTCCAAACATTGTCACAACCCAGATTCTAGCCTTTCCAAGAGCCAGGGCTAGCAGTATTGTGTGACTTACTTGGAAAAGCCCATCGTCAGCCAAGGGTGGACAGTATAAGGTCAGGTCATCCTGGCAGAACTCCCTGAGGCAGGGCCCTGTTACGGAGGGCACTCCCCCTACCTTCCCTGACCCCAGCCTGAGGAACCTGGGATTCAGGGATGGAAGTGGGGGACATGAGAAAGGAGCCCCAGAGGAAAGGAAAACAAACCTTTAGAACCCATTTCCTTGGTTAGGTGAGAGAAAGGGCAGGCCATCTAGAAAACCCCCTGGGGATTTCTTTTTAGGTATTTTGTGCTTGCGTGTCTGTGTGCGTGCGTGTGTGCCTCCTTTTTCCTTTCATCTTTTTCTATTGGTTCTCTTTCATTTTCTCTCCCTTTCCTTCATTGTCGAGCCACCTGCTTTGCCAGAACCACTAAACTATTGAGGCCTTGTGGGTGACAAGGGCTTTTCCCTTTTCTCCCTTAGTTTTCCATGCTTGGCCTCTGGGTTCCCATCTCCCAGGAAGCCTGAGACAGTTTAAGGAGCTGGGCTGGGAAACAGCAGGAACCCCACTAACCAAACAAAAAGCCCAGTAGCCTGGGCCTGTTGAGCTAAGCAGTCACCTCAGAGCCCTACAGTGATGAGTGCTGATATGTAAGATAGAGTGCTCTGGCACACTGAATCTGAAACTCCTGTTGGGCTTCTGTGAAAGAAATTTCCCTTTCTGTACAGAGTGCTGCTCCCTTGGGAGGAACTACTGAGTAGGTTAGTTCTCAGCTTCCTCGCTCCTGGCCCACTTATTTCCTTCTTGTCCGTTTTCATCTTCTATGTTTTGTGGTGCTGCAGACTGAACTCGGGAGCTTGTGCATACCTGTGAGCCTCTGGCCCAGTGAGCCCCAGCAGCCCAGCCTTGGTCCATTTTCATGACTGAAGGGGATATTTCCCAGACACTTCTGTCTCTGATCTCTTCCTAGCCTAGCAAGAGATAACCTTTTAAGCCTCAGAGGAGAGCCTGAAGTACCCCAGGTCCTAACCTCCAAAGATGCCTTTGGAGATCTCGCCAATATGGACAAGGCGGTGCACATGGTATAGGGACCATGCCAGCGCACGAGCTTAGGTAGAGCAAGTGCTCTGAACAGGGACAGGCCACTTGGCACCCATGGGCCATGCCCAGCCTCAGGAAGCTGTGCCTGAGCAGGGAGGGAGCTGGGGGACTCCCGTGAATCCCTTGCTGCCTGAATCTGAGCAGTGCCATGACTGTGCTCGGGACATCCACAATCACTGGAAGAGACATGGAAGCAGGTGCTGGCTCCACTGCAGGCCAGGTGGGAGGCCTGGACTTGACACTGTTCTGCATTATGGTCGAGGTGTGCTCGCTGCCTTCCTGGTGTGGGCCAGAGGTCTGCCCCAGGCCCTGCTTAGTGCCCGGCAGGAATAGCGCTCCATCCCCTGCCCGCCGCGGAGGGCCACTTGAGCCCACCCTAGCTCTTTCTGGAGTTAACCTCTCCAGGCTCCCTTTGTCTTCCTGTACCATAACTGAACCTTCTCTGTGGCAGGTGAGGTGATAAAGCATGGCGACCTGAAGTGTGTACGCAACGAGGGCATGCCCATCTACAAAGCCCCTCTGGAGAGGGGGACCTTGATCATACAGTTCTTAGTAAGTGCACTGTTTGCTCTCCTGAGACATACTCTCAACTACCTTGAGGGAAACCAAAGAAACCCATCTCCCCCGTGTGCTCGCCTCTGCAGGTGGTCTTCCCTGAGAAACACTGGCTTTCTCAGGAGAAGCTTCCTCAGCTGGAGGCCCTGCTTCCCCCTCGGCAGAAGGTGAGGATCACAGATGACATGGATCAGGTGGAGCTGAAGGAGTTCAATCCCAATGAACAGAACTGGCGCCAGCACAGGGAGGCCTATGAGGAGGACGACGATGGGCCCCGTGCTGGCGTGCAGTGCCAGACGGCGTGATGGCACAGCATAGCATGGCCCGGACGGACTAGTACATGATGAATGTAAACTTGGCACAATGAAAATGGCATCGCTTTAATAGCCTCGTGTTTGGGGTGTCCTGTGTATGTGTTCAGCAGTCTCCATTGCTGAGTATCTTTGGGTTTTCTTGTTTCTTTTCTGGTTGTAACTTAAGTTATAGTTTGATTTATATTTAAATGTTTTTAGTTCAATCACCTCAGTCTGCATATGGAATCTGTTCATTTGTACTTTCACAACATACTTTGGAGATGCCAGCACCATGTTGACCCTTAGTGGCTTCGCCATGGTTCATTTCCATGGTAGGCCCAGAGAGTCACACCTGGCCCCTAACAAAGGCCGAGAAAGTGGGCGTGTGGCCTGTCTCTAGTCTGTGGTTTTTCTCCCCTCCCTCCCTTGGCAGAGTCACCAAGGGTATGAGCTCAGGTCTGCTAATACCATTTCTGAATCTAGACTCTAGATGTTGTAGACAATAAAAGCACATGGCTGCACTTGGCCCCGTGTGCCTGGTTCCCACGGAGTAGGCTGTAATCAAAAGCTGCAGGGCCAGTCTAGCTCCTACTGTTCTGTGGTCAGAAAGGGGTTTGTTTGACCATCTCTCTTGGACGTTTTCTGAACTTCCCAAACCTTGTGATGACAAATCCATTTTAAACGATAAGCCAATAAAGCCATTTATTTGCCTGTGACCCCACCCTTGTTCTTTGTGGTTTTAATGATTGTCTGTTGACGACCTGTGCAATGTTGTCCCACCAAAGTGCTTACCCTAAAGAGGGCTAAACCCTTCCAGGTCCCTGGCAGCCTCCGTGCGGCTGAGGAAGCAGCCGAAGAGAATACTGGTGGTGTAGCCCCCGCCCCTGCACAGCCAGCACTGTCTGGGTGACTTAAGAGTATGCAGTGATAGAGCCCCTCGGGATCCCCATCTTTGCTCCGGACAGCTCCTCCCCAAGGGCCCGCTCGTCTCTCTGCACAGCCCTCCTGCAAAGGGCTTTCTGCTGTGATGTTTGCCGAGAACACTACCCACATTCTTCTGGTTAGTGGCATGAATACCACTGACAAGGACAGCCGCTTGGGACGGGTACTAGCTACTACCTTATTACCTCAGCCTCTAGCCATTACTCCGCCTTTCTTTTCTACAAATGAAGTTGAACACCCTGCTTCTTAAGCTGCTGGCTAACCTCTCAGATCCAGGTTCTTTTGTTGTTGTTTTTTTTATGTACCAGAGTTTGACACAGACCAGGAACCTCCCCTGAGAGGGACTATGATCCTCTAGAACTTTGCTGGCTGGTGTGATAGAATTTGCTCAAGTACAGAGTCTACCTATGCTCACTTTGCCCACTGGCCAGGACAGACTCGAAACTGCTTCCTTCAACTTAGCCATTTATAATGGATCACAACTCCTGGGTGGTGTTTCTGTGCTCTGACTTTCTAATAAATCACTGCTCAAGAGCTGTTTAGCTTGTGGTGGGACAAAACTATATTCAGCTCCTTGTTACGAATCTGCAGGGTGTTGCTTAACCTTCCGACCTGTATACATCTGTCACTTTAAAATTAAAATTGAGCTGGTACGAGATACAAATGGCTTTGCCTTTTCTTTTCTTTTCTTTTCTTTTCTTGAGCACTCAGCAGTGCTAGGTGCCAGACTATCTCACGCTGGTTGGCAGAGGAATAAACATTCTCTTGGGCAACTTTGACTTGAGGATGGGATGAGTGTAAGGTCAAGGGGTGAACTACAGTGGGGAGCTGGAGTGGTGGGGAACAGAGGGGGACAGGAGACAAGGACTTTGAGAAGCTGCCATCTGAGGAAGCTCTGAACTGTGAGAGTGTAGACCTTTCTGAGGAGACCTACACCGAAGCAGAGGACACAGGACAGTATGGCCAGGGGCTGAACAAGGGAAGTAGGAAAAGAAAACCAGCCTGTTCTAAGGAACTGAGCCTAAGGACAGGCACCATGTGACCAGGCACACAGTTTCAGTAAGCAGCAAACACTAGGATGTTGGTGTCCAAAGGCAACTGCAGGAGAGGCCTAAGGTGCTGGGCAGCATTCAGCCCTGCCTGCTAGTCTTAAGCCCACAGTGGTTAAGGCAGGCTTCCAGTAGGTCAGCCCTCTCTGGAAAGAACACGTAGAGAAGGTGTTGCAGAGGGCATTTTAAAAATACCACACAAAACAGCCCCAGGTATGTAGAACAACAGAATGTCCCTATGCACTTACTGTTTCCTTCAAAACTCCATTCTGAAACAGGCTGGTGTGTTTGGGACAGCCTGTGGGGGCTCAGAGCATCACATCATCATGAGTCACCTGAGATCAGAGAAGTGGCCTTTCTAACCCAGTGAGTGCCTAGATCTCTGCTTGCTCGAGCAAGTACTCTCCTTCGCTCATGATGCCAGGTCACACTGCTCTCCAGAGACTTCGACAAGGAAAAGAGCAGCATGTCCACAAACACAGGTTTTGCATTAAGAATGCTTTATTTACATTAAAATATGAGGAACATTTCCAATAGAACAGGAAAACCTTCATATTGTATCTACAAAATTTCTACAACATATGCTGTACTTTAAGTGTGCCTAAGGAGGTAAGGAATGTCACAATCAACCCTGTGTACTCTGAAGATGCTGGTGTTTAAATTGGGCAGTCATAGACATGAATTTCCTGGTCATCTCCAACAGACACAATTTTTGATCCACTTCCATTATATTTTACTCCCCAAACCTGCAAATTAAAGAAAAACAAAAGCCATTCTAAATCCCGTATTTTTTGGTACATTTCTTCCTGAATCTAGACTAGCATGAGGTCAGCAAGGATAGAGTCTCATCTCTAACTGGGACACTTCCTCTGACTGTTATGGAACAGCATTTCTCCTCTCTAAACTATGACAATCTACTACTCTTTCAAAAGATTAGAGTCCAGGGGTTACCTAATGCTATGAAATGGATCCCCGACTGGGGCTAGCACTATGCTCCCAGGAGAAGCCTGCAGGCAAAACTGCAATGCAAACCACTCACAGCTACCTCCTGTGCCCACCCCACCCCCACATGATCAATATTTACCCCCTTTCTCAAAGAGCCAGGAGCTAGCCAACATGGCCCTAAGCGCTACCGATTTTCTTAGCTGTGCACTGAATCAACAACTTGAAATTTCCTCTCAGAATGAATGCGGCTGAGTTAACTTTGTGATTACTGGGAGTTCTCCATGGTCAGGCTGTTACCCTCAGCTTGAGATTGGAGGCTAGCCTTGGTTTCAAGCCACAGAAAGGCCTCACTCCCATCCCGAACATCTTTCCCTGAAACACCACTGCAACAACCCAGAACAAGCAACACACGCAGGACTCCCTAAAAAAAAAAAAAAAAAAAAAAAAAACCGCTTCAAGCAATAGTGGACTGCCACGCTTCAGCCTCCCTGCAACGATTTAAGGTAAATCCAAAGTCGCATGAAACACTGTTAGTTAATCCTAAGATGCACTCAAAAGGAAAAATAAAAGCATTCAAATATATTAATGGTCAATTTTTTTGTTGCTCTGAGCATTTTAATTTTTACACTGCCTAGTTCCTTTGGACCAGTCCTAATGCTGCAACCCTTTAGCTCCTCATGTTGTGGTAACCCTCAATCATAAAATTAAATTTTTGTTACTACTTCATAACTGTAATTGTGCTGTTGTGAATCGTAATGGAAATATCTAATATGTAACTCCCAAAGGGGTCACAACCCACAGGCTGAGAACCGCTGCTCTAGACCGTTGCTACCTGGAGCAGTCTCAGTGGGGCAGAGTGGTTCACACCTGTAATCCCAGACAAAGACAGGAGGACAGCAGAAAGTTCAAGATCAGTCTAGGCTCCAGTGCAAACCTGTCTTAAAAATCCCCTTCCCCTGTGGTCAAGAAAGGAAAAAGAGGCACCAACTGTATCAGAATCCGCTTTCTTTTGTATGGCAGGGTGAGGCTGGCACTTCACACATGCCGGGCAAGTAAGCTGCCACTGCAAATGCTCCAGCCTCAGGCCAGAGTGCTGGGACTACAGGCCTGTGGCACTGTCCTCACTCAGAAGTGGCATCTTAAGATTCCCCAGGGGACTCTTACAAAGTAAGGACCAAGAAGGCTCTACTATGATGTGAGCACTTCCTATTTGCCTTACAAAGATAAGGATGGTCTTCTAAGTTGGAAACCAGGCTAGCACTGTTGTTACAAGTGAACAAACTAACATTTCCCAAGGTTTATATTAATCACATCCCTGGACAGTTCTAAAAATGTAAATGATGATCATGTTAAAAAAATGGAACCACCAAAGAAGGCGGCTCTTCTAGAAGTAGCCGGAAAAGGGTCCTAGGCATAGGTGTACAACTTCAAAGAAGGGGGTGTGGCTATCATGTTTTGGCATGTGTAGAGGACATGCCTCGTGGTCCAGCGCTGACATGTCCCGGGGATTCACCACTCCCAACTCCAACAGAAAGGCTAGGAAAGTGGCCAGCACGCTAAACACAAAGGAATTTAAATTGCTTATCAATCCATACCTGATCCTGGTGATCAAAGAAGGTGTGAACACAGGTCCTTGATCCAACATCCCAAACCTTTACACTTTTGTCAGATGAACTGTTTCGAGAGCAAATGTTAGGATCAGAACACTGACTTATCCGACACTCCTTTGCAGACTCAAACACTTCTACCTTTAGAAGGGTCCCTTGTTTCTAGACCTGGGGTTTCACAGAGCTGGGGTACAGTGTCACCAGATGACAGTCTCCTCAGGGCAGCCAAGATTTTCCTCATCAGCTTAGCCTGCCTGCCAAGTCCCGTCCTCAGGAGCCTTAAGCCCATCTACCCATTCTGGATGAGAGGGAGGTCTGCTGAAGTGTCAAAAGCACTCAAAACTGTTGAGCAATGTCCTTCAGCTCCATCCCACATTTCTCAACCACCTTGGCCTCCAGAGACCTGAACATCACTAGCATCTATAAGTACATTTTATAGCCAGATCTGCAGATTCTAAGTTCCTCTTGGAACATAGAGTTACACTAAGTAGAAACCTAGACCATGCTAATGTTTCAATATTTAGGAGTACCTTTAATCAAGCTAAGATCAACTTTATTAGATTAAAAACTAACAAAACCCTTTAAGAGCTAGAGTAAACTGGGCACGGTGGCACATGCCTGTAATCCCAGCACTTGGGAGTCAGAGGCAGGTGGATCTTTTGAGTTCGGGGCCAGCCTGGTCTACAAAATGAGTCCAGGATAGCCAAGGCTACACAGAGAAACCCCGTCTCAGAAAAGCCAAAAACCAAAATAACAATAACAAAAAAAACCTAGAGCAAACAAAGGCAACTTGGATTTATGCTTTCATTTAATAATTTATTTTTTTTGACAGGGTCTCACTACATAATTCTAGCTGGCCCTGAACTTACTATGTAGACTAGTCTGGCCTTACAGAGATCTCCCTGCCTCTACCGCTCCAGGGCAGGGATTAAGGGATTGTCCCACTATGCATGGCCTGGCAAACTTGGGAATTTTACTAATTTTGGAAAGTTTTTAATTTTATGTGTATGAGTGTTTGATCTGAATGTTTATCATATATCGGTAGGCCAGAACAGGATGTGGGATCGCCTGGTGCTAGAGTTTCAGATGGTTGTGAGCTGCCAGGGGTGTGCTAGAACTAGAGAGAGCCAGCGTTCTTAAATGATGAGCCATCTCTCTAAGCCTCAGAATTTCAAAAAGCCATGTAATATAGTCTTCGAGTTTTAAAGCACATTACCAGATGACTGCTTTCCTCTGCAAAGCATTCTAGAAGTTTAAGACTCCTACATACCTGGAGACAAAGTGAGTGTCGTCAGGACAGAACGCAACATTCAGCACCCAGGATGCGTGGCCACTCAGTGTGCCAGCCAAGTTGGCATGTTGTCTGAAAAAAGAAAGAGTCAAACAATGGAGATGCTAATTTGGGGAGCTCTAATTGCTGAACTGGTTAATGAACTATTTGCTCATGAAGGGTGTAATATCAGAATGACCCCATATGTCATAAATTCCATTTTTAGTGAAGCAGCATCAAACACCAGAGACAAATTTTTATGGCCGTGTTAAGTTAAAAATTTCAAGAGCTTGGAGGCTGGAGAGATGGCACAGCCAACTCCAAGATGAGGACACTGAGCAGCAGAGGTGAGCAGGCCAGCCGGACCCTCTTGCAACAGGACCTTTCCCATGGTGACAGGAAAGCAGTGGTATCTGCTCTTCATAGTTTATGTGGCACATCTGTAGTCTACTCAAGAATGAAGCAGGCAGCTGGGTACAGTGGCACACGCCTTTAATACCAGCATTTGCGAGCCAGAGCAGGTAGATTTCTATGTTCCAGGCCAGCCTAGTCTACATATCAAGTTCCAGGCCAGCTAAGGCTATATAGTGAAACCCTGCCAAAACTACAAATAAAACAAAACCAAAAAAATACCTTAAGACAAAAAAACCCAAGCTAAGCCCAATTCCTACTACCAGTATCATGTTTTAATTTTCAAAAAGATCTTTATTTTATATGTCTGTTCCATCTGTGTGGGGGTGCCCATGGAATCCAAACGAGGACATCAAATCCGCTGGAGCTG